CGGGCAGTCCTGGGCGGCCTCTCCCAGACGGACTCCCGTGACTACAGCTTGGTGACAGCCAGCTGTGGCTTTGGCAAGGATTTCCGCAAGGGCATCCTCAAGAAAGGCATGTGCTACGGGGATGACGCCTGCTTCGTGGCCCGGCACCGGTCGGCAGATGTGCTGGGTAAGTGCTGGCGGGGCCCTGCTGGGGGGTGCTGAGGTGGCTTTGGCGTCGGTGTCGTGACCTCCCCTCCTTGAGCCGCACATGGCGAAGCGGCTCAGTCTCCGGTCACAGACAAAGGAGCCGGTTCTGCCTGTAAATGTCAGAGCGAGTTCTCTTTTTTTAGTTTCAAAGGAAAGCTCTCGTGCTCTTTGCTGTAGCACGACGCCCACCTCGCTCAGCCTGCCTTTGGGATGGGGTGGTGTGGGTGCCGGCCGTCTGGGCCCAGCCTTGGCGTTTCACCTGTAGGTGCCTGTAAGGCCTAGTGGCCCCGAAAGCCACAGAAACAACTTGTAGTGCATTACACCTTGTGTGTGCCTTTAAAACCTAACCAAGCCCCGTGTATATGTATTGCGTTTCTACATAAAGGATCATTGAAACAGACACTTCCTGATTTTAGCGCGTGCTGTGTCCTTGTCAAGTGAAAGGCAAAGTGACATTGAGACTGGTTTCAAATGTCAAACTTCAATTTCAGTATTTGTTCTATCCTGGTTACAGTCTGGTTTGGATGCACGTGCGAAATCAATCTTAAGCGTTCACATTTTAGAAGTAGTGAATAATTACAGATAATCAGTGGAATCTTCAGTTTACGAGCAGCATTGCTTTTGACAGTGCATGACCTTTCTCCTGTGTAGGCAAGGTTGAATTTGGCTAACTGACACTCTGCAAAAGTTAGTTTTTGAGCAACTGACAGAAGTAAATTTTCACCAAAACTTCGACATTAAAAAAGCAGCATCCTCCCCCCCGTCCCCCCCTTTTTTTTTTTAATTTAAAACCAATGGATTGCACTGCAGTGTCTCGTGATGTGACAGTGCTTGGTGATTTCTTCACAATTTGGTGCTGTCATTGTAACTTGGTTGCCATTTAATATAGCTGAGACTTTTTTTTCCCCCGAAGCTGTAACTTGGTGCTAGGTAACAGTATTGCTGATTATTCTCAAGGGAGCTGTTACTCTAAGGGTAATGCTGCAGCTTTCAAGGAGATGTGGAAAGCTGGTCAATGCATTTTAGATACTCTGCATCTTTTCTGTTGTGCCTGTTCCAGAGAAACTTTTTTCTATTAGAATTAGCTGTTGGACAACCTTACGTTAACATGTGACTAAGGCTGGCTGCCTTTAAAGTTCATACTAGGCCAGCACTGATAAATAACTGAGCAATTGGTATTTACCCATAGGAGAAATGCGGAATCTGCTTTACTTAGGTGGACTCTTTGAATGGGGAAGCGGGGGGATTTAGACCCATTTGATGATGTTTAGGGTTTTTTGGCCATATTTGGTAATTACCGTATGTAGACCTACAGCTTGTCTTGTCTTCCTGCTGGAATCAACAGAGAATTGCATTTCTAAGTTGATCTTTGCATTAATTTTCATGGTAACTTGAAAACAAACAGAATTGTAACTCCACTTAAGGATCAAACAGCAAAGAAGGCTTCCGACCAGGATGTCTTAAGTACCAAGAAGAAAATAATTTAAATAGAAAAGCTGTTGGTGTTTTGGTTTTTTTTTCCATGTAAAGCTATTTTCATGTTAGTTCTTTATTGCTTTTCTAATACATGTACCAAAAAAACCAAGATCACTGTACATTCTGCAAACTGTAATGCTCAGGATGGGTTTTGATGCATTCTGCACTAACGCTCAGGATGGGTTTTGATGCAATCTAACGATGCTTTTTCTTCATCTGTAGTTCTTAAGTTTACAAACATAGTAGTTTTCTCCTTGTTTCTGCTGCTATGATCGTCTCTCTGCTCTCCCTTTCTCAACCAGCTCTTCTACACTGCTACAAAAAGAGTTTCAGCACCAGTGTTTTCCTGCCCTCAATTCCTCTTACTCTGATCGCAAATCTGAGGTTCTGTACCTATTTTTTAAAGTCCCTCATAAATTTTGTTCTAACTCGATACCTGCCTAAACTGGCTGAGCTGAACTTGCTTTTCAAGCTTAACTTTTCAGTATTAGTTTAATGAAGAGGTTCATGTGGTTTTAGCCAAAGCGAACACTAGACACAGTAAGAGTGCTTTTAGAGAACAGTACATTTCAAGCGTATCGCTTAGAGTTAGTCTGTCCTAGTAGCCATCAGTGACAAAGCCGTGCCAGATAATTAATTTAAAATTCTTCGTGCCAGTCTTTTCTAGACCCAATATATGGGAAGCATGCCTGTGTGGGATGGATATGGGTGTGGTGTACTAGTGAAAGAGCTACTCCCAGCCGTTTGGCATGAGTGCTTGGGGATTCATTTTCTTAGGTCAAACAAAAATTGACTAGGCAGTGTGTTTATAGCAGATAGAAAAATGCTAAACACTTCTTTTGTTATATGTATACTGTATAGTCTTAAGACTGAAAATTTAACAGTGTCTTCTAGTCTGTGCTTTATCCTTTCATAGTAAGATCAACAGAAAGCTTGTGAAGATTCATGTTATTTCCAACCCTCCCATAGTTGTTAAAGGCTTGATAAGGCCCGTTACTGGTGTACTTGAATCCTTGGAGCTTTTGTCTCTTATTTTTGCTTCTGTCTGGTACATACCTGTTAAATTTGCATGTTTTCTTCCCGTTCTGAGCACAGGGAGATACAAGAAACTCAAAACTGGAGTGTTTCCTTTGGGATCACTCTGAGAAAAGGAAATGACTTTACTACGAATATTAATCTCTAGAGCTTTATGATTCAGGCCCGTGTTTCCTTTTTGCTGCTGCTTGTACCATATTCTGCCTTTTTGTAGGTTCACTGTTAGTGACTTGGTTGTCCAGATGCTCAGAATATTCAGATATCTTCTTGAGACTTGGTAGATGTTAATATACCTCTTCAAGCATGCCTTTGTAACCTAAAAAACAACATTTCTGTCCTTTTAAAGCCGAAAAACAAAACTCTTCAGAAACTGACATCTTTCTTTTTTTCTAATTAGCACAGGAGTAGAATTTTTGGTGCATAGGATGCAAAACACAAATTTTAAAAATTAACTTAAAGGCTTTATATAAACATTTCACTTAACTAAACATTGAAGCTTGTTTATAAATTTTGAGAAGTCTCATCATGGTGATTGTTTCTTCTTTTGTCGGGATCTGCATTTTCTTGTTTCTTCCTGCCTTATCAAGCTCCTGATGTCTTTGCTAGTTTTTTATGGATTTTCCAAGCTGTTGTGTGACTCATTATTGAAACATTACAGCAACCAATGCGCATCCCGTGACAGCATCACTTATACAATGTCTGTGCTGGGTGAAGTTTGGGTGTAGCCAGTGTGACTTGACTAGTTTTCCAAACTATTTCTGTCCCCCAGCAGTAGTAGGAAAAAACTGTCTGGCAGCAGGGTACTGTTTGTCCACTGCAAAGTTAAAATTTGGCAACTGTTCTATCTGCTGCAAATCTTGATTTTAATTTTTTTTGGGGGGGGGAGGGGGTGGTATTGTAGGGCAGCTACTCTAAACTGAAAGAAATTGCACTTTACTTGAAAATTAATTTTGTCAGCAGCCTGCATAGCAGGTATGTAAAACTCTAGAGTGACAAAGCCCTTGGAATATCATTAGTCTCACTGTCATCAAGAAAAGTAAACTACAGAACGTAAAAGGATTTGTAGATGAAATGTCAAGGTTGTTCTGGCAACTACAGAGGAGGAAGGCCGCCTTACTTTGATGCCTGAAGGTCATATAAGACTATGTTAAGTGGTTTGTTTGGTATCGTACCTATTAAAGAGATTGCTGCCTTACCACAACTTACCGCACTAAAGGAGGCAAGTTGTCTGCTTGCTTCAGAGTAGCCTTTCACCTACTCTATTGAGAGAACTCGGGGCATCTTAGAGGGAGTAATCAGTGATTTGAAAAAGTTGTATATGCATCTTAGTTTGTAATAGAGCAAATGAAATTTTCTTTTCAACATGGGAGCATAAGTACTGTCATTTGTAGAGAAACTACAGATTATTGAGAAACATCCCCATTAACAATCACGTTCACTGACATTCTTGTCAATACAGATAATCCAAATGTCAGCAAAGCTGTTCTTAAGCAGCACTGAATGTAACCTCTTAGAAATGTGGTAGCTCTCTTTCTGAGAATGAAACTAAAATCCGGTTATTCTGCTTTACCACAGTTTCTGGAAGGGCATTGCACACAACGTATTCTGATCAGAATTTGCAGTTGAACACTTACTTTAATTGCGAGTGCTATTGATACTTGTTGATAGCGGACAATTTCCCATTCATACGCAGATCTTAACTTGAACGAAAAGCAGGTTCTGTCAGAAATCACAGAAGAAAATAAGCAAAGGTGAACACAATACAGTAGGTGAGACATGAATCATACCTATGTCGCAGGAAATGTTGCAAAAATCTCCTATTGCTTACTTTGGTTCATCCACGCTATTAATATTGTGAGCCTGAGATTGTTCAGGCTATAAGTAATTTCAGTACAGCTTGGCTGGTGTCTGTTCTACAGTACCTATCCCTTTTCAGCATTTAAGTGCCAACCACCAGTAGCAGTTCAGCTATGAAGATAAGTTCTGGGGTTGCTCAACACCTTGAGAGATTAAGTAGATATCACTATGTAGGGAAGTTTTTACAAAACTTTCAGAGATAAATAATAGTTTAGTGTTCTCCTGTTAACTCCCAGAATCCACTGAGCAATTTCTCAGGCTTAAATAAAATGGGTAAGAGATCTACCTGGTAAAAACCAGTTTTGGGAACAACAGTGCATTGGGGGGGGGGGATATATAAGGAACTGCTGCTTTTTTCTGGAATTAGATAAAAAATTTAATGTTTTCAGTTCCTTGTTCCTTTTTCAGTCTGTTCTTCAAAATCAATCTCTCACTTTGCCTCTTGCTTTTTGTTCCTCATTATCACCTAGCCAGTTATTCTTCCAGTGCCTCTCTATTTAATGCAAGGGTAGTTTAAGGTCTACTTTAACTTTTAAAATGTGTATTGTGAATAAGTAACCTTTCCTTTTGTAACTAGTTATCAGTCACACATAATCTGCCTTCAGGGATTTGTATTTAACCAGGTTATTTCTTTGTCGAAACCTGGGCCGGGGCTGGGAGGGGGGGGGAAGCAGACACCATTTGGCTTTAACATTGTGATTCCATACAGGCTGCAAGGAGGGTTAGTGCTGGCTTTGAGCATGTGACTTGCTTTGGATGGAGAACCTATTTAGGTGTGTGATTTATCTCATTGCTGATAAAACAAGAAGTCTTAGCAGTTTATCTCAGTTATGATATGTTGACAAATATTAGGCACTGCATTTCAAACTTGTGTAGTGCAACAGATTGCACTTTGTTACCTTTTTAGCCTTTCTTCTATATTTGATGCAAAATGAATTCAGTCACAAATATATCCTTTTGATGTTCTTTTATCAGTGATTCATTGCTAATTCAGGTAAGGATCTCAAGAAATTTAAAGTTCAATAGGACGTGTGGAGTGTCTTACAAAGTTAGTTGTGGTTGCATGCAAAAGCAGTTCCTGCTGGCACACTTGTGCTTGCCTGGTGCTTCTGTGTGTGATTATTATTCTTAGCTGATACAACATTTGACAGTATCAATCTTTCAACAGATTTTTGGGACAGGGCGATACTTTTGGACTCTGACCATGGGCAGGTTAGTTTACCAGCCAGCCAGAAATTCCACTCATAACGCTATTTATATTAAACAGGGTTTGATTAGTATTGTGGCTTTGTTCTGAACTTCAAGCCTGTTTAGTTTATATTTGCTCTGAACTAGATAGAACATCTGGATCTGACTTATAAAAGTGTGTGGTGAAAAGCACTGGCTGGCTTCTGCAGTTAACCTTACGTGTTGGCAGTCAAAACAACTTCATGTTTGCATTTCAACTGGTATTGTATCCCAGTGCTTTTAGCATTTTGAAATACATTTTAAGAAGTTGCAGTGCCAGTATCTTCACTTGCTCAGTTTCAGTGCTGCAGCATCTGTCACTTGTGCTTTGTCTTGAAACTTCATTACAACTGTCTCTCTATGAGAGATCTTGATACACTGAATCTTTAGAAAGAGCCAGTTTTTGGACTGACACATGCAGCGAGTATTTAATCTGGCAGTAGTATTTGTGTATTTTCCAGCAGAAGGCAATGTAGTGGAGCGTTAACTCTCAAAGATTCTGAAAGGTCTCCATAATACAGTTAAATACTTGAGAAGCATTTACTCTTTTGAAGTGATTTATTGTGAAATTTTCAATTGCTTTATTTATAGTGGTTGTTCATCTAGCCACAGGCATTTCGCTATGTCACATGGACATTTGTGTAATTTCTGCATAGGCTTGAACATAGGGAATATCCAAAGAAACATTCTTTCTATAAAATTTTCTGACTTACTGAATAGCTTAGAAAAAATCGAGGATTGTGTACAGTTCAATTTCAGCAATTCTTCTCATCCATGCAGTTTGTCTTAAACGTCCTGTGATTCCTATTTTGTAAGATGGTTATTTTAAGTTAAATGCTGGATACTGGAAGACAGTGTTTAATGTTTTATGGTGAAATGTAAGGAAATGAAAACTTGAGTAATCTTTTTCGCCTGTTAAAACAGTATTTATTTTGAATATTTACAAGATTTTTTGTCTTAGATGAAAACAAAGATAATATAAATGACTAGAGCTTGGCGTTATTCCTTGGCAGTGATACTGCCAATAGCAGTACTCTTGAATTTTCCTTTGGTGACAGAGGGAAAACATGCTATTACATAATAGCAGTCCATTTTTATGAGTTGAGTTTTCAGTCATTGCTACTTTGGGAGTTTGAAATATCTCACAAATAGTTTTGCTCCTTGTTTGCTGTATATCAAATATCACAAAGTTTTCTTAAACTGTATTCTCATTTACATTTCATCTATTTCAGTAGCAGTTTATTCAGTCTGTTTTAAAATCATATATTCCTTTCCCATAAAACTGTTTAGTTTAGGTTGAGGACGTAGAATGTAAAGATACTGTTTTTATTTTAAAACCATGCTGAAGGTAGGACAGGATAGCTAAAGATCTTAGGGAATGTAGAAATCTTCTTTTAAGGCAAAAACAATAAAGGTGGATGTTTGTTTTCTAGGTGGCACTGTGTGGTATAGGGCTTCTTGAATGTGCTTTGCCTATGTACTGCCATTGATCTCGATGGCAGCAGTAATTCCTGGCTCTGTGCCGGAGCGGGAGGAAGCATTTGGCTGCTCTGGCAGTGTTGATGAACCATGGTTTGGGAGCCAACAAGGTCATTTAGCTTAAGTTAAATGAACTGACCTATCTTTAAGAGAGACAATTTAAATGAAAAAGAGGGGAAAAAAATCCCAAATCTTTGCGAAAGAAGCCAAATTGTCCATTTTGGGCAAGGACAAGAAATAGATACCAGTGGTGGCAAATGAGTTAGTGAGCTGATGAGGTGTCGTGGAGGTATTACAGTGAAACCATGCTCCGGGGCCTGCTCATGAATGCGATGGTCCCGTTTGCTTCTGTGCCAGCGATGGAGAAGGAAATGCATAACTGTCTTGTTGATTCTTAAGCAGACAATCTGCTCGCTTAAGTATGGTACAAAGCTAAGTCAGAGGACCTCCTTGTGGACCGTCTAGAGGATGATTGTTTTGGAAGGCACTGGCAGAATGTACTTAAAGCTGTTTATAGCTTGCAAAAAGCAGACAGGAAGGCGGGCAGACAAAGCCATTTCATGGCTCAAGATAGAGTATGAAGTGTGTTGCCATGATTACGGATTCAGATTTCCTGCCTGGAATAAGAAGTGGGCAAAGAAAATCAGGTGGCATACTCTTATTTTTGCTTTAAAAATTGAAATAGGTTTTGATAATTAACTTTATCAGGTGCTTGCTATGATGGCTTTCTTGTACTGTATACTAATGCTGTAGTGTTTCTGTTTAAATATTTCCCAAGAAGACTAATGCAAGAATGGTTTACTGATCGCTTGAGGGAACTCCGTAACTTCTGATGAGCTTGTTTTGTAACTACTGTAGGAGCCAAAAGCTTTGGACAGTACTTGTCAAACATCATCTTTTCATTGCATTAACCCTGTTGTCAGTGAAGCAATGCTGTATTCAGCTAGCAAAAATACATCTGGATTGTGTTCATCTTAAAGGGAAAAAAGCCGCTTATCTGGTAACTTCATGTAAAGCAAGCATCATCATCCAAACTGAAGCTTAGTTTCTATTTCAAGTTATAAATCTAGAACTTTTTCTTGATAATCTCTTAGTCTAGACTTGTCTGCGTGCCAGCAGAAAGCAAAGGGTTAATCCAGTATTAACTTGAAGTTGTGGGACCTGTAAAGAAAGAATTAGTTTGTTCTTGAAGAAACCAGAAAAGGCATTTCTGTGAATGCCAGGGTTGCTTTTGCACGAGCTTCTTCCTAGGGTCTGGTCTCAAGAGGTGAATACAGAGATCTGCCTTCGTATAGTGTTGTTCTAAGAAAGCAAACGGACAAAGCAGGTGTCTAAAAGGTTGTACACTATTTTTGGGAGAAATCTGATTAATGTTGATAGGCTGTTCAGAATCTGGCTATAACCTCCTGTCAGATTATAGTTCGTGCCAAGGTTGGCTCTAAACCTTCCGTCTCAGTTTCAGATGGTGTCCCGTCTGAAGGGCATTTGTAGATGAGACAAACTTAGTTTTACCTTCTCAGTCAAATTTTCATGCCTTTGCTAATAGTGGCATTTTTTTCTGAGGAGGCTGTTGTTCTTCAGCACAATCTGAGCTCTGAAATTGGCTCTTCGTGCTTTTATCATGAACACAGTATTTTAGCTTTATTATGTTACAGAAACCTGTGCTTGAAATGGTTAGTTCCTTACATGTTGAGGATCAAAAAGATTTTTTGAAAAATTTCCAAGGAGAAATATTTTGATCTCATAAATAATACCTTTGGACAGTATTTTACTTTTATTGTTAAAGCAAATTGAGGGAGTTCAAAATACTTCAGCCAAATGGGCAGCAGAATATCATATCTGTTGTTTATCTCCCTCTGACCACCCCCCTTTTCTATGTGCATCTTCGCTATTTGCCTCTACGGTTGCTCAGAAGCTTCCCAAGCTTTGGCAGAATTGATCTAATTTTCTGCTATCCAGGTTGTTTTGAATAACTGAATGAAAATTGACTGGATCATAGTCAGTTTTCATTCTCTTGCTTGGCTGAAGCTGTAAGCAACAAACTATCCTTGCAGGGGTAGGTCCCAGCATTGTGTTGGTTGCATGGGGTTTTGAACACACTTTTAAAATGGAAGTTTAGTTTCTACAGAAATTGATATTACTGTATAGAAAGCATTATCCGTCATATGAGCAAGTAGCTTGAGAAAAAACTAAAGGGCTGCTGAATAGTGGCAAAGAGTTTCTTTATCATTTCTATCCTATTTAAAATCTTAACAACCTTCATATTTAAAACTAATAAAAACTCTTCTTCCTTTTTAATGGGCTAATCAAAGGTTAATGTGATTGAATCCTCCTCCTTCCCCCCAAATTCCCCATTAGTTGTTCTCTAGTGAAGTCAGTGTCCTCACAGAGTTCTCAGCATTAGACTTTTACCTTCTCTGCAGCAATTCAGATTATTTTTAGAGATTTGTCTAGGAGCTGATGTCAGAAGTTATCTTAAACTCTCAGAATCCTTTTTTCTTAATCAAAAATGTTTTTCAAGCAGGGGCTGTGTCCTACTTTTTAGTTACTGAATATCATAAGTGATGTCAAAAATTAAAAACCTTGTTTTGGAAAGCATTTGTGTTCATATAACTCTTGTTTTCTGTTTTCTTCTAGGGGTAGCAGATGGTGTAGGTGGCTGGAGAGACTATGGGGTTGACCCTTCTCAGTTCTCAGGGACTCTTATGCGAACATGTGAACGTTTAGTAAAAGAAGGACGGTTCGTACCAAGCAATCCTGTTGGGATTCTCACCACAGGTTATTGTGAGCTGCTGCAGAACAAAGTACCTTTGCTTGGTAAGAGAGGAAAAATACATAAATTGGATCTGTGTTGTATGTTATCTAGACATATACTTAGTCAAGGTTGCTTAAATCTGATGTCAGCTTCTACAACAGATTTGCAGGCAGTTATCTTTTAATTAACCAAAAAAACCTCAGAAATGTAGTTCTCTTGGTAGCATCCTTATTTTCTCTTGTATGTTTAAAAACTGTCTTGATTCATTCAGTAATGCAGGGGATGTTTGTGTGTGTATATATATATAAAAAAAATAAAACGCAAACTGCCATTGTGTGTGAAGGGTGGTAATTCACCAGTGCTTGCAGAGAGTTTGCAAAACGAGTTCAGCAGTAGAATACGCTGTGGCATGTGCACTCATTCTCTCTGTTACGTATGTATAAATAACTGTTCTCCGTTGGAAACTCTTAAGGGTTGGTTGTGGCTTTTTGCTTAAGCTATGCAAGCAAAAATATTTTCTGACGATAATGGGATGCAGTTCTGCTCATTCCTTGCCTTACTGCTCCCGTTGCCTTTTATGTCCAATGAACTTTAAACCTAATTGGTTGACTTAAGTAGTTTATATCATACAATCACTGGTACCATATATTATTGTTATAATTCTTTGTGTGGGATTCATTACAGATTTTTTGAAAACAAACTAAAGTAGATGCTTAGCATATTCTGTGTCAAAGTTGATTTTAGGCAGGGCATCCAGCTGCTTTGGAAATGGTGGGCAGATACAGAGGTAACATTTGGCTTCAGCTGACAGCCTTGAAAACAGAATACTTTTCTAAACGGCATGTGACCTCTTATGCACCAAGAAAGCGTTACCGTACATGATATGCATGCTTCTCACCTGACCTTAAACTTCTACGCCAGAAGAATGCTGTGTAAGCTATATTTAACTTGTCGTCTGAGCTTCGGAACAGATGTTCTCACATTATATGCCTAAAGAATAGGTTCGAACCTCAGAAGTGACCTTAAGTATCACTAAAATAGCAGTGGTCAGTAATTACATTAGGATTTTGTTTAATAGTGCTTGTTTGTGCAAAGCAGATGTAGCTGTAAGTGATCTACAAAGCGGGCCACTGGTAAGAGCTCTCACAACGGCTTTGTAGACGGAGGCAGCCCTGCTTGGCTTGACCTTTTGAATTCTGAAAAGCGGCGTATGCTGAGTCACAAGATCTGCATTCCACACATGGCCTCCTAGTTACACTCTGCTAATAGAGTTAGGATTTGAAACTAATGATCCTTAGTGTTTCTCCTTTAACAGAGAACAGTATTTTTAGAACTATAAATAAAACCCTGGAATTACCACAGCAATAAGCATTTAGAGTTTGTTTAAAATAAAGTGAAGGGAGAGGACTTCATTAAGGAGGAATCATTAGGCAATAACTTTTCCTTGCTGTTGTGCTTTGAGTCTTGGTATTTAGTTCATCAGAATTGAATCTAGCAAATATTTTAAAATAAAACTGAAGTGGGAAGAAACCATGCCATTTATTTAAACGCTATTCTTGTATTGCAAAACAATCTTGGACGCTGTCACATATAAAATCTGAATTTTTCCTAAGATACTGCTTTGACTTAGCATTCACTAAGAGTGGAGAAGGTCCTATATATTCACTAGAGAACAAATTAAGTGCAAGTGTATTGCAGGGAACTCCCTGTATTAGAAAGGGAAACATCTGGAACAGGTGATGCCTAGAGCCAGCTGGACTTCTGCACTAGCAAGCTTGATTGTAAGTTTAGCTCATTGCAAGCTTGTGGTCTGTCCAACACGTAGCTGTGCTTGGAAGCTTCTGCTGGAAGAACGTTAGGATGGAAGATGAAGACTCTTCACCAGCCGGTGATATGGGGACTTATGTTAGAGGCAGAAGTCAAGAAGAAATGCTTTAGCTGTATTTCACGCTCTTCAGGAACAAAAGTTCTTTTGGTGGATGTGCTATCCTATTTGCAGAAATTAAGTGATTGCCGTTTGCTGTGAAGGACTTAGTCTGTGGATGGGTATCTTTGCAATACAGTTATTTTTGTGGCTTCCAACCAAGCACAGTTGGTGGCTACTTCCCAGTGAATGAATCAAGAATTCCTCAGTGCCCTCAAGCATGGCTGGGGTAGTTCTGAGCATGCTTGACAAGTAGATATGTTTCCGTTCTGTCTGACTTTAATCCGGAATAGTATGTGTCTCTGAAACATGTTTTTTTTAAACTTGTGAAGTTAGTATCCCGAAGATATGACAGGATCATTATTTTTTTAAACATGAAGATAGCTCTACAGAGCCATGCGATGAAGAAAAGCATTTTAATGTTCTGACAAGAGTAATGCAATAATACCTAATACTTAATTGCAAGCAGTTCTTTACTTGGCATGGTTTATTTACAGCTGATGAGTGAAACTGTGTGGAGAGCACCTAGCCTTGTATGGATGCTACTAGAATTCTATTATCTCAATGATTTCAGAATTTCAGTATTTTATGTGACTTCTGTAAATCCAGTCCTATAGTAGAATGTGCTGACATGTGTTGGGATAGAAAACTGTAAATAAAGTGGACAAAACAGGTATTTGTCAGCATAATGTGCTTACCAAAATCAAAGCAGGAAAAGTAAGTTCTATACAAAAATCATAGTTTGTCTTGCAAAGATTTCTAGCGTTTTGCTATTTTTAGTGTGTATTAATTTTGGCATTATTGAGTATTTCCATTTCTCCCGATTTGTAAGCTTTGATAAAAATTTGAATAATTGCACTGTGAATCAAATTGGTGAAAGAATAAACAATTTCTGCAAGGCTAACTCCAGTTACCACATTCTGTTTGCTTCCAGGAAGCAGTACAGCTTGTATAGTAGTTCTGGACAGAACAAGTCATCGTTTACATACAGCCAACTTGGGAGACTCTGGATTTTTGGTAGTCAGAGGAGGAGAAGTAGTACATCGATCTGATGAGCAGCAGCATTACTTCAACACTCCATTCCAACTGTCAATAGCTCCACCAGAAGCAGAAGGAGTTGTCTTAAGTGACAGGTAAGATGGGAGAGGATCTTAAATTTTTAATCTGTGGTATCAACTCCCAAAAGGTTGCAGTTTTGCTGCTACGGTGCTCTTTGTATAGTGCAGCATAGCGCATGGGATTTAAGCGTGTATCCAATCAAAGGGTCTTATACCTGCCCCCCCGCCCCATCTTCAGGTAATGTGAACACTTCTCACCTTGCACTTAACAAACTTTGTATGCTGTTGCACAGTCTGAATTTATTGGGCTAATGATTATTCATTCATGATGGCATATTCCCATAGTCTGTGGTGTGCACTAGGCATGTTCTGATCCATGGAAAGACATTGTTCGAGAAAGCTGCATTAATAAGACTGCAGCTGGTATATGCGCCGGTCATCCTGCATGAGTGGCTTGCTTTACCAGTAGCTTTTGTTCCCAGTCCCTGTCAGCACTCTCTTGAGACTGGTTTGGAGTACGCTAATTTAGATATCTTGGCAGTGAGGTAGCAAGTACTTGAAGAATAGAGCAGAGGGACATGTGACTGTAACTTGTGTTTCCAAATAGCATATTGTATTTGACCAAAACGAGCAAAAAAAACTGTTTGGCGGAACACCAAGCTGGGAAACGAGAGTATTAGGAAAGGACAATCTGTTCACAGAAATGAGTTGTTTCAAAGGCAGACTTGTACTTGTGTCTTCCCCTAAGAATGTCAGGCTGATCCATCCTCTGACTTTGTGAAGTCTCACCAGTAATATAGAATTTAAAAAAAAAAAAATCAGCTTTCAAATATATATTAAAATACAGCTCTCAAGTCAATGGTTATACACTCGTTAAAGTGATAGCCCTCTTCTGAATACAGGAAGACGATAAAGGGATCTTCAAAGAGTGACCATAGTATACAGGGAATGCAATAGACATCTTAAGTTTTTGATACAAGGTTTGGACTCAATGATCTCAAGGGTCTTTTCCAACTGAAATGATTCTATGATTCTGTGAAGTATCAAGGCTGATACAGTAAGGGTTATGACTTTAATGCCAAAATAGCTCTTTCTGAAAATGTTAGTTAAGTTGTTGAAACTCCTGACCATTCTTGGATGTGGTTTTATTACTCATCATAAGACTGCAGAGAGGAAGCTAGGGTAGAACTCTGAAATTAGAACCCTTAAATAATCTAACCTCTCTATTAGTCTAAAAATAAATGATTGAAATTGCAGAGCTGTAAAAATCTTAATTTTTCTGAGATTCTCTGTCATCCATGGGAAGACAAAAAACAAAAAGCACAAGGATAATTGATAATGTCCAGTGGAAGTCAGGAAAGCAAAGTAATCTGAGTCATCACGTAATAAGGAAAGCGCAAGATAAATGAGCTCCCACATTTCAATTCTGAATCATGATTATAGCTTTCTGGCTAGTTTCTGCACTGTTCTTGATGTTAATTAGTACTCATGTGTGTTGTCTAAATGCTTCTCCAGTACTTTTTTTTTATTTGTTGTCCCAGTTTAATGTTAAATTTGGCTATATATGGGAATAGGCAGGCAATCTTAACTCTATTAGCCTTCCTGAAGCTACAAATCAGTTGAGCAAAGCAGCTCTTCTGCTTCTTGGCATAGCCAAATGGCATGGGATGCAGCAGCTTCTCCCTTTTAAAGACCCCTGAAGAATCTTTAAAAATGAAGGGTTTGTCATTATGCTGCTTCCGAGAATCAGGTTTTGCAGCAATATTCATGGCCAAAATAGATTTTTAATTTTTTTTTTCTCCTCTTGGTATTGTGTAATGTATTAGACATAAGTAGACCAACTGGCTGTGGTCTCCTGGTAGCGATTTCCAGCCATGTTTCATATTCCATTGCATTAGGAAGTGATTCAGTATCCTTGAGTGTTTTGGCCGTTTTGTTATGAATTGTCCTTTCAAGTATAGCTCTCTTACATATTTAAGATGAGTGAGAAGGATCTCACAGCAGCCCTGAGCTGCCATTCTACTTAATGGTTTCCATGGAGATACACTTGTGAAGTGGATTAGTTTGCAGGATTGTTCATCTGGGAATTTTAAATGCAAATCCTTTGTGTAATAGCTGGAACCGTACCTGTTTGCAATCACAGTTCTTCTGTTGTAGCTTTCTTGACAAGCCATCCTGGTGCAAAAGCTCTACAGTTAGTGACTATTTCTTTCTTTTGCAGAAAAATACATAACAGTAGTGAGTTACAAAAGCTGTTGATGTGCTAGTTTGACATTGCTTGGTGTCTTAGTGAAAGCTGGAGTCCTTTTCTTTAACATATCTGTCATCTTCACAGCCCTGATGCTGCTGACAGTACTTCTTTTGATGTCCAACTTGGAGACATTATTTTGACTGCAACAGACGGACTGTTTGACAACATGCCTGACTACATGATTCTGCAGGAGTTAAAAAAGCTGAAGGTAAGTGTGTATATTCTGAATCTCTCATCTTTTGCACTGGTTATCCCTTATAGTTACTACCATTACTTTTTATGCATGTAACTCATATTTTATATGAGACCCACTGCAAAGTGCTATCATTTAGAGACTTTGCAGCTAATACCACGTGAGCGGTAGAAAGGGACGCTGACCCCAAAGCGCCGTCTCTTGGATCTGCACCCAGGCTGAATCCAGCAGCAGCAGCTTGGGCATAAATTTCCTGAGTAGCAGCTGGTACCACGTCACTAACTAGTGATGGGAGGAAGGGAAAGGGGGAGATGTTCAATAGCAGGCACTGCCCTTGGCCAGCTGCTCACGCATTGTATTTTATCTGTACTTGCAGGTTGTGGATTATATACATGAAAATACAGCGTTCTCTCATGGGTTATTTGAGGGGGTGGGCTGTATACTTAAAAATAATTTGAAGCTTTTCTGAAGGGTTATAAAACAGTAATTCTAAGGTAGTATGGGCTGTCTGAATTGTGGGTTGTGTGTGCTTGCAAATCTTTAATGTTCTGGGGGGAAAAAAAAATAAATTCCTGGCAACTTTTCCAGGTTAGTGACCACACACGTTCTTTTTAAATAGTAAATATACATTAAAATATTTTAATTTGGATGAGAACATTTAGCTGAAGGCTATTTACTTACAGAAAGGAAAGTATACTTAGGAGATATCAATATGTATAACTCCCTGAGGAAAGTATTTTGTTATGAAATGCAAATAAGGTTAACGTAGAATTATAGTGCGGTTTTAAAAAAGTTTTGCCTGCTCTTACCCTGCAGCTACATAACTGAAAGGTGGTGTCAGACAGGGAATGGGTCCTTATAGACAAAATGTCTGAGAGGCCTCTGCACGTCAGGCGGACCCTTGTGTTTCGCCCTCTCTGCAGTCCCCACTATCCCTCTCCCCTCTTCTCGGTGCAATATTCAGGTCTGAAATTGAGAAGCTGTGCTGTGAAATGGAAAACGCGAGCACGAGCTGTCACAGAGGCTTTAATCTAGTTAGCAAAGGTAATGACAGCACTGAAGATGTATTGGCATGCTGTCATGGTTTGGAAGGGCCTGGTGGGCTGGTCGCTGACTGGCGTGGCTGTTACTTAACGCTGCGGCCAGATCATATACCTCTGTCTGCTGTACTCCCACCTTCCTTTTGCTGGGTAGATGTAAGGTTAGCCTGGGCGGACGCTGGAGATGGAATTCCCTTGTGGAAGAAAGTTGAGCTCCACCTTTTGGCGTGTTTGGGAAACGCCAAGTTCCCTGTGAAGTTCAGCCAAAAGTTAAGCATGTAAATGCCTGCTAATTCCCCAAACTGCAGGGAAGACTCTTGAAATGACAAGGCATTTTAAAATAGTTATAAACAAAAAGAGCAGCGGTTGTTGTGTCGTGTTGGCTTCAGTAAGAAAAGTGCTGGAGTAAAGCAGCAGAGTTACTGAAACGGAAAAAAAAAGAAGGCACTTAAAATGCAGTCCATAGAAAGTTTGCATGCTCGATAAATTTTTTTTCTCATCTAACTTTTAAAGCGCCCCTTCTCCCCAAGTGTGCTCTTGTCGATTTGCGTAAGAGGGTCAGAGAAGTGAGACTTCCCATTCGGGGTAAAACATAATTACTTCAACAGAGCCTGCTTTGTGGGGGAATGATGGTTCTTTCAGTGAGAACTGCTAGTGTAGCTATCAAATGTCCTGCTTCCCTCAGGTGAGACTGTTTAGTCTATTTTGAGTATTAGTCTTCTAAGTTTCTAAATTCTACAAATCCTCCAAAACCAAGTCTTGTAGCTGCTGGTAGGGATTAGGGGTCTGGACTTCAGTTGTAAAGATTTGCAGTTCTAACCCAAATTTAGAAAGCCTAAAAGATGGTGAGGGTTCCCTTTGGAAGCCAAGGTGGTAACTAGTGCGCTAATCTGTGAGAGAGAGGTCTGGCAGTCAGGGATCTATAAAACTGTCATGCATCAGCAAAACAACCACCAGTAGACTTCCTTGTAAGAATAAACTTTTTTCCTCATTAATTTAGAACTCCAACTATGAGAGTATACAGCAGACTGCAAGAAGCATTGCTGAGCAAGCTCACGAGCTGGCATATGATCCCACTTACATGTCGCCGTTTGCACAGTTTGCATGTGACAATGGATTGAATGTGAGAGGTAAGATTTTTTTTTCTCCTCCTCCCACTCCTGCTATCTTTGAGAAATCTTAAGCAAAGTGAAGTTCTGTTGTTCCAGAATCCGATAGGAAAACAGAGCGTTAAGAAATGTGGTTGGCAGCAGAGCGCCAATCTAGCGCGTGGGGTTTGGCAAGGACCCCAGCTCCTGACGCAGGTCATCCCAGGCCCCGGCTGATCAGAAGCCTCCTGTGGGGAAGCAGCTGGAATGCAGAGAACGGAGTGCACTGATATATATATATATATATATCTTTTTTTTTAACCTAATATGTACACTCCTGCTCCAGGAATCCTGCCTGAAACAAGTTCTCCGGGCTCTTAGGAAAACTGTACTTGACTTGTTCCTTGGATTTGGGTGTGTGGGTGGCGGTGTGTGCGTGGTGGTGTTTGTTGTTGGTTGGGTTTTTTTTTTTAAGGTCTTTTATTGATGCTTTTTAGTTGAGATTCTGCCCACTCTTTGGTGCTGGTTTGGGGTTTTTTTGGCTCAAATTTCTGACCCTTGTACCACTAGCATCCCCGTCCTGATCTCTCTGTTGGTTTTATTTCCTACGCTCTAGACAGATACTGACACCTGGCAGAGTTCAGAGTCCTATCAAACACCTTTCTTTTTCTTTCTTTTTTTTTTTTTTAATAAATAAATATAATTCTGCTAGTAAAGATGTTCTCGTTATTATCTCTGATCAGGAGGGCAGGATTTCCTGCAAGACCCTTAAGCGTCTTTCCTAAAGGTGGAGACAATAGCTCTTTGGGCTCCATGTTGCTACAAAGCTCAGCCATTCAGGAATGAAACTGCAGATCTCCCGAGTCCAAAGGACTGGTTTGAGTGTCTCCATAAGGAAATACCTCTTCTCTGAGCTGTTTCTCTAGGATTTGAGTGTATTGCTCTTGCTGTTGAGGTTTGAAAAGTGACTACTAAAAATGTTAAGTAGCTCTTAGAAAGATATGCAGTAATATAGTGCTGGAGAAAATGCTAAAGAGGTGTCTGATTTACAGTAGAAATTCCTGAGAAGGTACCGACTTTCATTGCAGCTTGCTGGTAACAAAGCAATGTCAGGGTTTTTGAACATCTATTAAATAAATAACTAGTCTGCTTGAAAACAGGCTTTCTGCTCTGCTGGCTAACAGCAGCGTTCGAGGTTCTGTACTCCTTTTAGTAGTTTGTGATCTTACTGTAGCTTAAAAGGAGAGCGCTTTCTTGCTGTGTTAAATGTCATTGCTACCCTCGGTTGCGTTCTGGAAAGGAGGTGGAGGAAGCGGAGTTCTTGTGTCTACACAAAACCATTTTTGAATATTCAAGCTATTTTTTTTAAAGAGCTTTCCATGGGGGAACGTCGCAGATTAGAAGAAGATGACCCACTGCGGTTTGATGCAATAGTTTTACTTTTCTTATATTACAGGGGGAAAACCAGATGACATCACCGTCCTTCTTTCTATTGTGGCCGAGTATACAGACTGATCTGCCCGGAGCGTCAGCTTCTGACGTTTTTGTTAGCCCCGAGCTCCTAGCTTCACGCGTACGGTTTCCTGCTGGCAGGATTGCTTTCTTCCTTCGCAGCTGATCTCAGCAGCCGGTTCTCGAGCTCGTTGCCTGTCTTGAGACGCAACTGAAGTCCTTGTTAAGAACCACTCTCGTAGTACACTGGTCTTTGTCTGCCAGCAAGAAATGAAGAAGCTCAAGGCTTGAAGCGTGTCTTTCAGAGCTTAGTCATTGTCCTTAAAAGGGGGAGGATCAATCCCACATCGTTACTGCGTTCGAAACGTGACTTACTTTCAAAGGGGTAGAATTGGTTTATCATCTTTCAAACTAGATTCAATAGCTAGAACCTCTCTAAGAGGGCGTATTACTCTATTTACTAGAAACATTCACTATTCATTAAAGGGTATGTTACAGAACACAGTTTCATAAGCATAGTCTTGTAACAGTGATAGCTGAGGTTTCGTGTTTCTAAGCTCCAGTTTTCAGGAGATTTATAACTGCTGTAAACATTCTGCTCTTGCCATACATGGTGTCAGCCTAGGAGCCTTTTCTAGTACGAAATTTCAAAAAACATACTTAGTTCAAGTTATATGGATGCAAATGTGTTTTGTGATTTCAGGTGCTTAACTGTGATCTTAAAAGTTCTGCAGATCATTCGTCCGTAATGGGCCCGGTATCTGGATGTTTTGGCTGTGGATAATGCTGGGGGTTTTTTGTTTTCTTCTGTTTTTTTAACAAAAATCTTAACTCAGTCTCAAAAAGCCGAGCTGGCCGAAGTTGAGGTCCTTTCAGCATTGTAACCCATCTCACCAGCGCGGGGTGATGCGGCATAAATGCTACAGTGGGAAGTTGCACAAAGAACAGATCATCCCCAACTCCGAACGTCTTCGCTTTTGGTAGATAATTCTGTTGTTAACGAAACATAATTTGTGTTGACAACTGCCATTCTCGCTTGTGTAGAACGGAATGTGCTGCACCGGTTTCAGTCCAGTTGACCCTTACCTTTCTGATTCTCAAACAAGCACCTCTTTCTTGGGCTGTGGCAGCAGCAGTAAGTACATAAATGGAAACTCTTATGAATAATCAGCAAAACTTACATTTCAGTAACTAAAGTTTAGGGGTTTGGGAATGAACCTTAATGATGTTTACAGTTATCTAACAGCCACTTTGCAATATTACATTTCCTTTTGAATTACAGTAGCTCACATTCGTTCCCCCCGTTCCAGCAAGCCTTCCTTTTTCTTTCCCGAGGTTCATACAAAAAGCTGATAGCTGTAAAGATATATATATTTTTGGTCAGTTTTTCATTAACTTTTTTGCTGGTAGAAAAGTATGTAGAAATAAATTAAAGCCATGTTTTTATATATAAAAAGTCGGGTAATGTTGCTGTTTAGGTGAGTGCAGTTAAACTCGGTCAGTAAGTAATCTTACCTGCTCTCAAAAGGAGATTTTTACTACCTGGTTTATTGTATTAAAACTGTTTAAGTTTGAGGTTACCTCAACTTGTTTAAAGAATTTTTGTGGACTTGTACTGTATATTTGCGTAACTATGTCAAGCTTTTATTTAAGATCATTTAACATGTACCATGTACATGTCATTTTACTATATTTCAATGCGTCATGCTTGTAACAGGCATTTCATTTATAATAAGTGATTAATTTGGAAGCTCTTCAGTAATTTATCTGCTATTCCTAAATTGGCATAATGTTAGCTATCTATTTTAAATCACCTTGTAATTACTCGTCAAAATGCCTTAACTGCCCTAACTTGACCAAAATGCTATTTTGGTGAGGGTATGGGGAGGATTATATTAATGAAGAAAAACTAATGAGTTTTGCGATCCGCGGAACAGCGAGTGGTGGACACCTTTGCACAAATCGTCAGTCCTTGTTGTTTTTTAAAATTGAACAAGCCGTGTCCAGCTGTCTCGTTAGAAGGAATGTATTCACGCTGCAGTACAGGGCTTTGTTTCCAGCATTTGGGAGGGGGGGTTCCCTCTCAAAGCTGGGTGTCTTTACATTTTATTCTCCAGTATTTACTGTCACGCTTCTTGATTAGAGCAGATTTGATCAATTATTCTTTCCCTTGAACTTACCTTAAAACGATGCCCCTGCAGACCTGGGCTGTGCTGCACTCGGACCCCTCGCTCTCAGCGCACTCGTCCCCAGCCTACCCCCGCCTGAGGTGTTGCGTGCGCTGTACTCTGCCGCTGCTGGTCCGGGTCTGGAATCCCCGGGCGGAGAAGCTCAGCCAGCCTTCTCCAAAGCTGAACTGTGCTGCCTGGCGGGTGTGACGCCAAGCCTCGCGCTCTCCGGTAAAGCCGTTCTTAGCTGAGCAGTAGCTACGAAGCCATTTGCCTCATATCACATCGTGATTATTACTTTTTTTTTTTTAAATAATGAACAAATTTGGATTTTGATTTACAAATCATGAGTTTATCCCTCACCGGACACACCAAAGACCAGTAAAGCTTATAGCTTTTCCATCTGTTTATAAAGCAATACTGTATTATAAAGAATTGATATTTTTATCACATGCTTGATTGTTTTTGGTTTTCTTTTTTTTTTTTTTAAGATGTGCACTCTAAACATATCAAACCTATTTTCTTCCTATGAACTTAAGCTGTCTGCGCACAATAAATTTTTGGGAAAGGAAATGACAGGGCCCATACTATCGAGATAATTTCAAACGATGCATGAAGCAGTAACACTTCCTAGGAATTAGATTATGGTGACTGTTCACGGGAGGAACGTACAAGAAGGGTGTTCCGTGGAACGGAAGCGTGCGTGAGCGGAGCACAGGCTGACTTTCAGCCGCCGCAGAGGGGGTGTGCGTGTTACAGGAGCTGGTGGTTGGGGAGCGGTGGTCGGAAGGAAGAGGAAGAGTTCCACACACCAGTGACCGCGTAACGTAACAGGGCCGGCAGGAGCTGGGATTTCTGCAGCGGCGTCACTAGGTATTTGGGTCGAACAGGGCTAAGATGTGGTGGATTGGAAAAACTCTGTGGTTCCTTGCTACTTTTATGGCTATCTTTGGGAGACCTGCCACATACAGTTTCCCTCTAAACGCACTTTCTTCCTGTTTGTGAAGAAGGAATGGCCGAAAAGAAACCAAACCGAAAACCAGCTTTTGGGACCAGACAGTTACGACCGAGTAAAGGAGAAGGGCGGGGCGAAGGTCTGGCGAAGACGGGAGGGGTTTTGTGGTGGAATCTCTGTCTCTCGCTAACGGACACCCTTTCTCCAGGGCAAAAAACCAGACTGCGTGTGTAGGAACTGACTGTATGAAGTAGTTTCTTACAAAGATAGCTGAAATAATGAAGCAAATCTGAGTCTGTATCTAATGAGGATGCTTTTTTTGTTGTTGTTAAAATGAGACTATCATCTATGCTTACCTAAGAGGCAATTATGTGAATTTCATGTCTGAGGTATAACTTATGCAGGAATAGTTCTGTAAATACATTTAAATGAATTGTAAAGATATTTAATAAATATAGTATTTATACTAAAATGTGGTTTGTTTTTTTTTTAAGTTGACTGCAAAACCTCTGTTTGTTAATGCAGTGATGTCACTGGTGGCACAGAGGTGCCCAGCCGCCCGTGCTCGGGGTGTTGGGCTCTCGCTAAGGCCTTCCAACAGCGTTCTCAACCCCGCGTTTGAATGACGAGGCAGGGAGAGGGAAAAGAACAATGCAAGTCTGAAACACAAAAGCCTCTGAAACTCCTGCTTTCAAACATCGCTTTTATTTTTTAAAGGCATTTCCATGACAACTGTGGTTATTCGGTTCAATGCCAGTTCTACACAGTTTCTGTAAAAATACCAGCTATTCTATAGCACCGATGCGTTCGGCTGTGCCAGAGTGGCAGGGTTTATCTTTCCAGCACTCTGAACTTCACCCGAGGTGCTAACACAGCTTGACTTCTCTAGTGAGAACGTACTGGAGAGCTGGACATCCGACGCAGGGTACCCACAGAACACATAATAGGCAAATCTCAGTCTAGTCAATCGCGACCTCAATTTATATTGCGTTGTGACAGTGACCCGTGCTGGTGGTTAACGTAAAGAGTGAATAAACGCTGAACCTGTACCGACAGCAGGAAACGGTAACGTACTCGGTACTGAGTTGGGTTTTGTCCTTTTCTTATGTCTGTCTTGTGAAAAAAGAAATGGGCCCCGTTGAGCAGGGTTCCCGCTTTCCAGGCTCTCCGAACAGGTGGTGGTGAAATGCAGGTCACCGCACAAGCTCAGAATACAGTTTCCGTCGGGTTCCAGCTTGCGGAGGAACTGCAGTTAAACTTCTTTCTAAAACTAGGAACAGCTCCACAGTTACCACGTCAAACACACTTTTACCTTTCGAGGCGATCCCCGGTAGTCTTCACTTGGATTCAAACGCTTCGTGTTACTAGAGAACTTGGGAGCTCTGCCCACTGCCACAATCCTCTTTGGCGTCGCTAGGTGTTGCTAAGCTATGGAAGGTGTGACTGATGGCATCCTTCTCCTTACAACAAACCGCTCCAAAAAATAAGGAATGAAACTGGAAAACACAATATTTATAGAAGTAAGAAACTGCGTGTGATACAGAATTTGGGGGTTAATTATTTCTGAAGCTTTTGTCATGTTAAAAGCACACTTCAAAATCTTTACCGGTCTACAGTTTTTCCTAGTAAAACACACCTGCCATCTGTGAATATTGCCAGCGTTACCGTTAGACAGGGTAGTGGCGTTTCTTGTCAGCTACGCTGCTGTGAAAGCCGGTTCCGTTGAACCGCCACGTGGAGAACTGAGTATCAACGTGTAGTAACCCCCAGGCTACAGGTGGTGTCCCGCTCAATACCAGCTAGGGTATCCACTGTAAACACCATGGGGAGCCTCCTCACCTTCCGATAACGAGACTCCGTTGCCTCTCCTTCCAGCATTGCATGGTCCTCTGCCTCGGTTATGGCTGTTCCAGCTACGCCTGTCGTACCTTTCTTTGCGACTCTGGGAATACTTTTAATCTCTTGTTTTGCCAAGGGACTCGTGGGTTTCGCTGACTCTGTGTTCGGTGCATTTCCATTCCACCGTGGCTTTTTGGAAGCAGCTGCTTCTGCATTGCTAGCTTTATCCATGAGGTTTTTTTCAGATTTACCCGTGCGTGTCTTCAAGCTGGATTGGA